GAGAGAAATAATAAAAAAAATGGAAAGGCTTGAATAAAATTGTGTGAAACTAATGCTACCCATCTTAAACTCCTTAAATAACAAAAAGCTTTATTATCAAAAAGAAAAACATGTATTGCTGGTAAGGACTATTCAAAGTAATACAGGTAGCATGTGGCCATTTCTATTCCATTATTTATCCATTAATAATAATGAATACTTTTGTGTATGTGCTGAATTGTGTTCTTAGAAGCATTATTTAGCAACAGAGAATCCATAGGGAAGAATGAGCTGTTAAACCGTATGTGTCTTTTCTGAAAGCACAGAAAAAAAAACAACCCTGCCATGCTGTTTCACAGAAGAGGCAATAGGAAAATCAGCAGGCCAGTGAGTTTGCTAAGATTGGTGATGAACTTCGCCACAGGCTGCCTGGGCTGCTGTGAAGTGATTGGGCATCCCTGGGAGATGGAGTCTGAGGTTGCTGTTTAGCCAGATAGCCACTTTGTACCCTAGTAACTTTCTTATTAGACTGTCATCTCATTAACTACTTCACAGTAGATGGTCCCCAAGTGCCACATACTCTACTTGGGGCCATATTGCTGAGTGGTGCACACCCCTTAGACTTAGCTTGCTCCCATCTGCCCAGACAGGTGTTTTCCATCATGACTGAGACTGTGAGTACAGAGCATGCTCCATGAAGTGCCTTTGCCCATGGAATTGATTAGAACATAGGTTTCAACTGGAAAAACCACATTAGGATTTTTTTTTTTGACAGACACAGAGTTTGACTTTCTGATAATTACTATTTCACCAAACCAACTGAGACTCAGAACTGCAATTAAAAAGAAATGATCTTCCATGTATAATGGCTTTCACACTGCATGGTACTATTAAATAGCCATCATTAACTACTAAAGCATGTACTATTCCTTTCCCAGATCCCTTTCTCTGCCAAGAAATTTAAGAACAAGAATGATCAATGAATGAATTGTCAGCATTATAATTATTGGTATAGGAGATGCAAATCAAACATTTTCAGAATGATTTAGATGTATGCAGAATCGTTAATGATAGTGTTATTATCCAGACATTGAATTTTTTCTAAAGACCCATATTTATGTCTTTTTATCTACAATTCATGGGCTAGTTCATAAAAAGGAAGTATCTTTAAAAAATAAAGAACAAGGAGATTTGGGGTAATTTCTTGAGTATTTTGCTAGGTTCTGGGAACAGAAAGCTCAATAAAACAGTTTTTCTTCTCACAAAGCTTCTGTAGCCGGGCACAGACAAATAGACATGAACAGTATGGTATGATGGATTAATAAACAAATGTGTACCAGATATAAGAGTTCATACGGTAGTTTAGCTTGCAGGGGGAAGTTATAATGATGGAAGAAAAAGTCTGCTTGAGAACATACAATTCTTGCTTGGGCCTTTTCATTCTTGTCTTCTTAGGAAACACCTCTTCCCCCTCTCTCCAGATGTTTGTAGCATGGAAGAGACCCAGGAAAAATGGTCACAGAAGATATGAGAGCTAGAGAATGTGCAGTTTCTCAAGACCTTAGAGATATCAGTTAAAATAGGAGACCAGAAAACTCTGGGGTCCCGACTTCACATTGCATTGCTTAGTCCAGAAGTGCTTTCATCCACTCTTGGGGCAGAGGGGGGTCGCAGATACAATGATAAAACATACGTGACTAAAGAGATACGATAAAAGAAGTTGACTAATATCCAACTCAAACACATTTATTGGCGTAAATTCACATACAATACATAACTTTATTCATTTAAGTGTGATGTTAAAGAGAGGTAGGCACACTGTTCTGAAGCTACTACCACTGTTAAATTCTAAAATACTTTTCTTGTCCCAAAAGCAATTTTATACCCACCCAGTAGTCCCTTCCCTAGTTCCTTCTTCCTCTAGCCACGGACAATCATTAATCTACTTCCTGTCTTGATATGTACCTATTCTAGACTAGTCACATTAGCTGAACCGTGTAATCATTGCTTTGTGAGTCTGGTTTACTTTGTTCTTAAAATGTCTTTGAGGTTCATCAATATTTGTAATATTTTATCAGTACTTTATTCCTTTAAGAGGAAGAGTAATATTCTATCAATTAATGTACCACATTTTTGCTTACCCATATTTGGGTTGTTTCTCTCCTTTATTTATCTTTTGTTGTTGTTGTTGTTTTTGTTCCAATACTGTTTCAGTTTTGAGGGCTAAAGGACAGAGATGGAAATGCTGGGTCATAGTGTTTTTGAAATATCATTGACTTGTTTGCGAATATGTGTCTCAGGACTTTATTTCTATGAGCAAGCATAAGTGATCAAAATTTTCCACCTCTTTGTTCACATTTATTTTTTCTTTTAAAAATTATAGCCATCCTATTATCAAACTCTTTTATGACTAAGTAGTACATCATCAAAACACCTTCACAACCAGAAAGAGATATACTTGTCTACTTTTCTTCATTTGTATGTGAAGCCATAACCTAATTGAATGAAGTTTTCTCTTCTATAATGAGTTGCAAAGTGAATTTGATGACATTCTGACAACAAAGCTGCCTTTAGAAAGCTCCCATCCCCTCCCCAGTCACTATGATCAAAGTTAATGCCTCTAAATGGCGACCTTTGAAAGAGCATCCCAGAAATGCAGCCAGGTGCCTTGGTCAGTGAGTGGTTGGCAAAGGCATCAAAACTATGTCTGGGGTTGGCAAGAAAAATACTCCTCTACGACAAATCTCGGTTTTGTTCTTGAAACCCAATGGACATTTCCTCCCCTCCATCCCTTCTATATGTGCTGTTTGGTATGCTCAGTTTTAGAAACAACTAAGCACCAAGTCACATTCCAGTTGAGGCATGATGGTTTGTTTAGGTCAAACAATTTTTTAAACAGCCCCAATCCACCCAAATTTCAAATTCCACTCCAACATTTTTCTCATGAATAATTCAGCATCTGTTGCACACAATCCTGGGAAGTCTGTAGTCATTGATTTTAATCTGACTGCCATGCTGGACACTTCGCGTGATTCTTTCCCTTCTGGCAGCACTTAGTTTTGGAAACCAAAGCAACTATATGTAAGCGATTGCTGGGTACAAGCCACAGGACATTGAGTATAAATGTTTTACTTTTAATGAAGTATCCAGTTTTGCATTCTAGACTGTCTGGTAGAAACAGCGTCCATGACTTTAATTTTGAATTTCACCAACTCTTGAAGTAGATGTGAGGGGGAGGCAAGGAGGATAACTAAGGAGCAATTGCAAGCAGCAAAGCTCATAGTGTGTGCTGGACTGCAGTAGGCCATCTTCCCCGGAATGGGGGCGCCGGGGCGCCCCCCCCCCTGGTTGGCATGCTTCAGGCAAAGACTTGCAGGGATTTTGTGGAATACATCAGCATTCATGAAAAGGAAAGAGGAGGTTGAATCTTTTGACAAGGAGAGACTGCAAGGCCCAGGGTCAAAAAAAAAAAAAAATCAACAGCCTTTCTTTCTCAAGCAGAAGCTTACAGTTCCCAAAAGAAGTCAGCGAACTTTGGGCCTGCTGGCCAGCCTTAATACTCATCTCTTAATGGTTCTGGCACTTGGACCAGGGAGGAGTTATACCTCAAGGCCCTTGTATCCCTTAGTATTTCACGGAGGAAAGCCTGACGGTATACCTTGCCACTGATCCTGGACTTGATGATAGTTCCATCATCTGCGCAGCTAGCCACGCGTGTATTTAGAGCTGGCATGCCTGCCTGTTCAGGCTTTGGCACTCCCCACCTGCATCCTCTGCCCCGCCAACTCTCTGGGGTGTAAAGTACAGCAGGGACCAGCGCGGGCGCAGCTGTTACAAGCCGCTCAGCCTAATCTTTCCCTCCTGAACACCTACATGGATTTCCAATACCGCGTCTGGCAGGTTCCAGAGGGAGTGCCTGCCTCCTCTTGAGCCCTCTGTCCCGCGTCCTGATTTCTAAGGTCGATATTCTTGGGGGGAGACTGAGGGGACTCTTGGCACTACAAGCTTCCTTAGAGATTCGAAATGGTTCACTCAGTTTCCCTGAACACTCCCTGCTGCAGACCGGAGAGCAATGGCTGTTGTAACTCAGCATCCACTAACACACCACTGTGGTCCTTCGTGTTCATAATGCCGTTGGCTTAGATCTGCTTTCTGCCACTCAGTGTTTGCGTGGGCACTTGTGCAGTGGCCAGCCCCAAAGGGAGTTGGACCTCTCAAAGAACGTCAGCGCACTGCCAGACCTGAGGAGCTCTTGCAAGGGCCATCTGGAGACATCATCGACTTTGGGGTCCGAAGGCCTGAAATCTTCAGCTGCAGGTTTGAAGGATTGGGCAAGCGGGAAAGGAGGTGGGTGTTTAGGATCCCGGAAAGCAGCTGGGGTGAGGTGGGGTCCCTCCCATCACCAGAAGAGAGGCAGAAACTGAATGAAGAACTCTAGACATATGTGCCTGGGATTTGTTACAGTCTTTACTTGGAGTAGGAGTGGGGTGAAATAGAACAGAATGCATAGTTTTGGCTGGTACCTACCCTTTATAAAGGTAGAGAGACTCCTCAGGTCCGTGCTAGAAGTGCCTGAAGATGTTGTGAGAATGCTGTGATAGAAATCTGAAGTTGATCCTAGAGGGGACTGGAAATGGCGAGGGGGGGGAACTGGGAGGGGAAAAATAAACCACCTATGTGCCCCCCTCCTTCGTAGCTGCTGACGCGATGGTGCTGCTTATTAATCATTCACCAGTCCAGAGCCGCTCCACTTAACGGCCATACCGCGCTGAGCTCTAGCCTCTTGGTCTCTCCACGCTCCGGTGTGCGCTGGACCCACGGAACTGCAAGAGACCGTGAGCGAGCAGCCCTTGGGCGATGCGCCCGGCCGGCCTCGGTAGGAGCCGCGCTCGCCGCAGCTGCTGCGCTCTGCCAGGCGGCGCCAGGCGGCGGTGAGCTGCGAGCTGGGAGTCTTGAGCCTGGGGAGGGCGCAGGCAGCAAGGGCGCAAGGTGAGCGCCCTAGCCCTGAGCCGCACCGGTCTCTTTCAGGCGGGATGTTCCCCAATGGCACCGCCTCCTCACCCTCCTCTTCTCCTAGCCCCAGCCCAGGCAGCTGCGGGGAAGGTGCCTGCAGTAGGGGCCCCGGGGCCGGCGCTGCGGACGGCATGGAGGAGCCAGGACGAAACGCTTCCCAGAACGGGACCTTAAGCGAGGGCCAGGGTAGCGCCATCCTCATCTCTTTCATCTACTCCGTGGTATGCTTGGTGGGACTGTGTGGGAACTCCATGGTCATCTATGTGATCCTGCGTTATGCCAAAATGAAGACTGCAACTAACATCTACATTCTAAACCTGGCCATTGCTGATGAGCTGCTGATGCTCAGCGTGCCCTTTCTGGTCACTTCCACGTTGTTGCGCCACTGGCCCTTTGGCGCTCTACTTTGCCGCCTTGTGCTCAGCGTGGACGCGGTGAACATGTTCACCAGCATTTACTGCCTGACTGTGCTTAGTGTGGATCGCTACGTGGCTGTGGTGCACCCGATCAAGGCAGCGCGCTACCGCCGGCCCACTGTAGCCAAGGTGGTGAACCTGGGTGTGTGGGTGCTGTCTCTACTGGTTATCTTGCCCATCGTGGTCTTCTCACGCACAGCCGCCAACAGCGACGGCACGGTGGCCTGCAACATGCTCATGCCCGAGCCCGCCCAGCGCTGGCTGGTGGGCTTCGTCTTATATACATTTCTCATGGGCTTCCTGTTGCCTGTCGGTGCCATCTGCCTGTGTTACGTGCTCATCATTGCCAAGATGCGCATGGTGGCCCTGAAAGCCGGCTGGCAGCAGCGCAAGCGCTCAGAGCGCAAGATCACTTTAATGGTGATGATGGTGGTGATGGTGTTTGTCATCTGCTGGATGCCTTTCTACGTGGTACAGCTGGTCAATGTTTTCGCTGAACAAGACGACGCCACCGTGAGCCAGTTGTCTGTCATCCTCGGCTATGCCAACAGCTGTGCCAACCCCATCCTCTATGGCTTCCTGTCGGACAACTTCAAGCGCTCTTTCCAGCGCATCCTGTGCCTCAGCTGGATGGACAACGCAGCGGAGGAGCCAGTCGACTACTACGCCACCGCCCTCAAGAGTCGTGCCTACAGTGTGGAGGACTTCCAGCCAGAGAACCTGGAATCTGGAGGCGTTTTTCGTAATGGCACCTGTGCTTCCAGGATCAGCACGCTTTAAAGGCCAGGCACTGCCTGGAGGGGGAGAGAGGCCAAAAACGGGGAGAGAGGAGCGGGTGTGGGCCAGTGATAACCGCTTAGTTAACTGGACCTAGGAAAGTCATGTGACCAAGGTAAAAATGGAGAGTTTTGTGGGTCAACTGGGAAGGCTTTCGGGACCTCTTCTCAGCCCTTCCTCCTTCCTACACAGCGCTCGCTACTTTGAACAACTCTGTTCTTCAAACCCGGTAACTTCGATGCTCCCCGTTCTGCTAGTACAAACCACAAACTTAACTCTCAGTTTGACCCTTGTTTTCTCAAGTCGATATCTCTGTTTCTTTAAACTGAGCCAGCGTTATTGCTATGTGTTTCCTTTGGGCTGAGTCCCCAGCTTGTGCTCATCCTGGTCGCTGCGCAGGTCAGCCGGCCAGACTCTGCTCAGAGCGGTTATCAGATTGTCCCAAATCGCCGCTCTCCCTTTGCACAGCCTTACTTTAAAAGGAAGCCCGGCTTGAGGATGACCAGGCAACTTCTCAAGGAAGGCACATCTTTCCCTGGGCACTTCCTCCCTCTGCTCCGCCCACACCCAGAGCAGAGCTAGGTGCTTAAGAAAAGGTCGTGCACCCAGAACCCCAGACTTTGTATAGCTCCGCCCACGTCCTCTTTCGGAGGAAAAAAGGAGTAAACAGGACAAGTTTGTAAGATCCTTGGTTTGTGAATATGGGTACCATAGAAGTCACTCTACCCTTAGAGCTCAGAAATTGAGCACTGGGTTCCAAAGTTCCCGCGAGGGGCGCTCCCAACTGGTAAATGACTTAGGCTGGCTGGCGGGGTGTACCTGAAATACAGGGCTGATCCTCTGGGATCGCTCCCTAGAATAACAAAAGCTTCGGTTTCCTACTCTAGCGTAAATTTCAGGTCCAGCTCAGGCTCCTCCTGTGATGACCGCAGGACCTTTGCCAAAGCTGGATCGGTTGCTGTAACTTGTGTGGTCCCGGAGGGTTCAGGCCTTTCAAGCCGTGCCTAATAAGTTATTTCTTGTTTAACATATTTATTTATTTATTTATTTGTGGTGTTGGAAATCCTGTGCTTCTGCTTTTCTCTACTTGCCTAACAGGGCTGCTCTTGGGAGTTCAGGGAGCTTCAGGGTGTGGATGAGAGCAGGAGAAAAGAAAGGCTCCCTCCTCAGCCTAAAACCCTCTCAGGTTCCACTCTCTTGGGTTCTCTTAGCCTTTTCTCAATCCTTCCTATTTTTGCTTGTATCCAGTGAAGTTTGGAGATTTTTAAATGCTTTTTTATTGTAGCTTTGGTCTTCTTAAAATAAATAAATGGTAATTTTGGCTAGCTTCTGTCAGTGCAAAGTGTAAGACCTGAATTCCTGGTGTCCCAGGAAACATGGGGGAAAACCACACTGTTCTGTGATGTGTGTGTATGTATATGTGCTGCTATGCACAAATCATATGTATATATACGGGAGAGGAAGACAGATTTGTTTGTCTTGACTGACTGTCACAAGTCCATGAAGCAATTAGAAGGACAAGGGTGGCTCCAGCTGGGATGTTTTCAGTTTCAGGTTCAAGTAGCACTCAAACTTAGACCTGAGAAATGTCAATCAGAGACTTGAATCCCTACTGAAGATATTGCTGCCTTGTCCTAGGAACCAGCACAGGTGATTCTTCCACGCGTCCAGTTAACATAGTCACTTCTGTTGGGGAATGGAAGTGGAAATAATTATGTCTGAATTTACTAACTACATTAGAAATCTGAACAGAGCAAGGACCGTTCATTTCACTCATTCGTGTTTCCTGTAGTCTTTGGTGTGCTGGTTTGTACATTGGAGGCACAGAAAGCATATATATCTTGGCTGGTTGTTTAAGTAAGCCAGTGTATATCAGTGGTCCTGGAATAATGAACCTTGGGTTTTCAGGTTCCCACTGACATGACATACAATGACTGAATGCACTAAATAGAAAAGATGTTTTGTGCACATTTGCTTCGAGAACACTATGCTTTTCTAAAAGCAGTAACCAAGAGTTAAACTGTCTCATGGTTTGTTTCAACAAATGAACAAATATGCTTTGGATCATAAGAAAGTTTAGATCTTTTCCTAATAATAGTTAAATGTATATAATAACCCTTCTGTTAAAGCTGATTTTTAATCGTTAAGAACAATGAACTTTACAAGCTGAAATCTCCATCGTTATCATCTCAACATAATAGAAATGTGGTGCCCTTCACCTGCTGCCACTGTAATCGTAACAGAATAAACAGATGTGTCATGCTGTCACAAGTTGTCGGGCTTCCATTTGAATCTTACTGTTTCAAGGGGTTATTTCAACACTCAGGTCTGATTAACACACTTAACTTTTGGGGAAATTGCAGATTAACTTTGAAAGTTTTCAGGATTGCATCTAACCTTTGAACTATTTTCTTTAAAATGGGAATCCTGGTGCATGCGTGTGCATGCGCGCGCATGCATGCGTGTGTGTGTGTGTGTGTGTGTGTGCATGTGCGAGCATGTGTGTGTGCCTGGGCGTGTGTGTATAGACAGGGAGGGAAGGAGTATAATGAGGAGATTGAGGAGAAGGGAGAAGGGCAAAAGGAGGAAGCAGTACCAACTACTGAATGAGTGTGAACAGGAAGCAATGTCTTGGGTTACACTCTGCCCTTGCCACACTAACCAGACAATGCCTCTGGTTTTCACAGATTAAATTACTGCCTGCCCTCATTCATGACCTCAGGTTTTGTTGTAAAGTAAATAATTACTGCTTTCCATCGGAGAAATGATAATGGGAGGGAGACATATCCTTTAAAAGTTTTAAAAGGGTAGTTTTAAAAAGAAGTAGAAAAATCAGGTTTTAAGAAGGACACATGTTACATCTTGTTCAGTTTTGGTCACTTCCCCGCTGGCGGCTGTAACAAGGCTTGGTGAGGACTTGAAATAACAATAAAAACAGAAACAGATTCTACATTTTATAGAAGCTTTATTTCACAGCAGAATGAATGAAAACAGTATTCCTCAAACATTTGATGGCAGCTATTCTGGGATGATAGTGGTTCGAATGCCGTGTAACTCCAGCTGCACGTAGTTACATGTGTTACCACAAAACGACTAAGGATAGTTGTACTCACGCATTCCTGTTATTTTTCAAAGTCATAGCAGGGTAGCAAATGTGTAGTTTACAGCTTAGATTTATAACATTCTTTTTATAGTACTGGGGTCTTGATGCTCAGCTACAGCGCACATAGTTTGTTACTTTGGATACAACTGCTACAAGCATTACTCCAGACCCCTTCAAACTGGTTAGCTGAGAGAAAGGAGTCAATTGAGCTAATAATTTAATTAGCTATTTTTTTTTAATTGTGACCTTTTGTTTAAGTTTGTACAGTTTCAGCTAGCGTCCCCTTTCTCTCCTTATTGGTAAATTGGCTCTAAATTATGCAGGGAGATTTTATACCCTTGTGGGGAATATGACTGGGTGAGTCCTTGGAAAGTAGCCTTCCAGATCTTTTACCTTCTGCCTCTGCTCGTCTGTTACTGTGGATGCCTCCTGGCTGCAGTCAGGTAACATTTGCAGCTCCAAGTCTGGGATCCTGCATCTCATCTGGAGTGGCATCTCCTGTGGGCAGCAGCTCCTTGAGTTCCCATGGTCCTCATACTGATCCCACAGTGATCGCACACTGGTCCTCCAGCGGATGCCTCAGCCTGTGCTTCGGACTCTGACACTCTGCCACTGCAGTCCCTGGGTGGGTGGCTGGAGGAGACCCAGGGACTGGCACTACATGTCCCAAGGATCCCTTTGGTCTGTTCTCATCTCCCTCTGCCTATGACTGTCTCAGATCTTTTGCGTTCATCTTTGCTTTTGTCAACCTCACTTACTGAAACATTTCACAATCTCTCCATCCGGGTTATACTAGGGGAAAACCATAGAAGTTGAGCCCTTGTGTCTCATGCAGCATGAAAGGTTTAAACCAGTTCCCACTTCTAACCCAGTCATACACCTCATTTCCGAAAATGTTTGGTTTCCTGAATACAAACCCTTCTCCTATCCTCAGTTGATGATCCTCCCTCAGAAAGAGATACTGAAAAATCCTCAAGTCATGAGACTCCCTCACACACGCAGAAAGACACTGAAATGACTGGTCCTTTATAGAAGAAGTTAAAACATGTTGGTTTAATGTCTGTAAATGATTGTCTCACTTTCAAGTGACCTCAAAACTCCCCAGCGTGACATCTTTCAGGGTTTCTTCCCACACATCAACCATGTAAAATGATCATATTAAAAAGCTTTGATGTCTAATTCATTTTATCACAACCACTGAACCCAATGTTAAACATATAGTTTGCATATGATGAAAAAGTGGTTCTCTTAACATGGAGATGCATAATTTTGAACTATAAATATATTTCTAACTTGGTATCATTAAGGAAATAATAAAGATACTAGTGCAATCTTCCAAGAAAAACTCATTTGGTGGTATATTATGTTTTATAAGTTAGGCCTAGTCCCCTCTTTGTCCCAAGGTAGTACATCAAAGGTGAGGAACTCCAATGATACTATTAACAGGTGGTCCGAATCTGCTAATACACTTACACAGATGAGTACTTTGCTTCTCATCCAACAGATTTCAGTTTGTTGGCTTTAGAATGATGTCAACAGGTTCAACACTGTGACATGGTTTCCCTAGGGGAAAACAGGTGCAGAGATATAATGGATGATAGTTTATTATTTTATGATCTACCCTGGGACTGCATCCAGTAGCAAGCACCTGAGAAAGGACTGTGCTATGAGTGGTCATATAAACTTCGGCTCCTGATTACAGCTATAAAGAAAAATGAAGATATCTCTACCATAATGACAAGGCGGAGGAGCCCTGTGAACTGAAGCAGATAGCTCAAACTAACACAGAAAAAAATGCCTGCATGTCCAACTGCTACTAGGTTGACGGAAGCATTGTCTTAAAAGGAGATACGATTTTAGGTCAAAATCCTGTAAAATGTTCACTTTGATAATAAACAGAATGGTTGGCAAATAATATATAAAACTCAGTCTTAGGCCAAACCTGGAAATTTTATATCCATGCAAGAGTGAAACCTCAGGGTGCTCCCCCTCCATGTTCTTGTTGAGTAATGGGAAACTTAGCACTTTAAAAATAAATCTCTTTGACCCAGATCAATCCAAATCAATTGTGAGTGGACACCAAAGGAAAAGAAATGACAAGGTAGATGTGCCACCCACCTAGCGTAGTACCTCTTTAGAACTGTGATTACATGGCTGGAACAATCAGTGTGGAAGATTCAGGTCCTCCCAGCAGTAGGAAGATTCAGGTCCTCCCAGCATTAGGACATTTAAGAAAGATTATGTATTAGATTCCACTTAGAGACCACGGGTTTTGCAAGCGAGGAAACAGCAGGATAATATATAAACACTGGTCTAACTTTTGCAAAAATGATGCATGTGTATTTCCAAAGACAAGTTATGATGCACTTAATCGAGAGGGAGGTAGTCCAGGGCATGAGAGGTAAACAGAACCCTTTTGTAAATTAACCTGACTCTTGGGGCTTTTCTGGGAAAGGATGGATTGCACTGCGTTCTTTATGTTTTTATAATCCTTGAACAATCCACTAATCTACCAAGCTAACATTATTAGCAGTCACAATGTGTCTATTCAATGTCAATAATTAAATCAAGCATTTTCCTTTATGTCTGACGAGCCACTCTTACTTCCAAACCAGGCAGAGACACGCATGCGTTTTTCAACAGAGCCTCAAATTGCCTTGTATATAAACTGCTGTACCTGACATCTAACTTAAATTATGTGTGCATGCTTGTGCTTGCACGTGCACACAAGTGTTAATTAAAAGAGTGACATCATAAGAAATTATTTGTAAAACAGTAATTCAAAGCGTGTCTTCTTCCGCCTTCCTCCCTCACAGTGGTTCCAGGTCCATGTCCTCTCCCTTGACTCTATTCCCACCTTCCCCAGTCCTCCAAAGAAACTCTTCTCAGAAAGCTCTGGCACCTGGTTCACTGTTTACATAACGGAAAAGGTTTGAGTGTTAGCCTGTCAGAAGCAAGACTTTTCAGTAAGTACATTTCATCAAAATGTTAGGTAGCAGTCTCTCTGACACAGTCTCTTCCAGTACAAGGATGTCATCACAAGTGACTCTGAATCCCCACATGTAAAGATCACTTGAGAATTTTTATAAAGATAGTCTCTATGCTTCATCAGAGAAGTGTTGCTGCATTAGAGTCAGGGTGAATCTGGCTGTTTCTAAAAGCACACTGCCCAGTGAGAACAAGTAGCTCAGATTCTAAGAGCACGGAGCTTGCCATCAGCATGGGAGGCTCTGCTTTCTTGGAGCATTCAGACAAGCTAATCTGCATGATGCTTATTAGCCTCATCTATAAGGTCAAGATGATGACATCTTCTGTGGGGCTGCTGCGATGGGACAATGCATGTCAAATGCCAACTCTGTCAAAGGTCTTTCAGTCGTTAATGACTGAAAACTCAATTAGCTCACAACAGTAAACATTCTTGAGAAGATCTGGCCTCAGGGTGACTTAATTTCCAATACACTATTTTTTTTTTCCATCTCTACTTATCTCTGACCTGCTAGACCGATTTTTTTTCTTCAGACTCAGCATTCTTTTGTTCTTACAGTGTGCAGCAAAATCATTGCCCACTCCCCAGATTCAAGTGTAATTCTCTTTATCTGCACTGACTAGTCTCATTTTCCGTCAGATCCAGCTCCAGGAGCCTCTTACCCTCTATTCATTTTGCTGAATATGCTAAGAATATGAAGTTCTGAATAACTGATGTTATTTCTCTGGATTATCTCTCTCTCTCTTTCTCTCTCTCTCTCTCTCTCTCTCTCTCTCTCTCTCTCTCTCTCTCTCAGCAAGCAATTCCAGACAGTTATGTCTCCTTCAATGAGAAACCTTGGCCACTCCTTATCATAACATATGATGTCCCTGAAGTCAGCCTGACTCAGATATGACACAGACCCACTGGGACACAGCAGTCACCTACGCTAAAATGCATCATCAATGTTAGAGATGAAGACAAAGGTGACCCATCCCATTAGTTTGCTTTCCAGCTAGATTGTTGTGTCACTAGCAACGAATCCTGCATCTCTGACCTGGGAATTCTGGGTCTTCCACCCTCTGTGAAACAGCAGTCCTCTGTTGGAAAGTGAGATCCATCAGATTACAGATTCTAACAGTATCCACCACTGAACCGACTAACAGGACTTGCAGGATGCAGTGGGTTAGGCTTAGACTACTTCATCCACCTGCGGGGCTGAGAGTGTCAGTTTCACCAGAAGTGGA